ACAGTAGTTTGTTCTCTCCGTTTTTATGTGTTAATTAAAATTCATGAACAGAAAATAAAATAAATCGCTTAATATATATTATAACACATATATATGACAGGTACATTACCTGTTGTTTTTGGGTTTTTTTTCCTGCAGAACCAAATAATGTCCAATAGAACATTCTGGACATAGGCCTACCTGTGTTTATTTATACTAGCCTTCAGTCCTTCAGTTTAGTTTTGATCATGTTTCAGACACATCTGCTGTGGTATTTAAACAGGTTGTTGTGCAGCAAATGTATTAATATATTCCAGCAAATACAGAAATATATTGCTCTGTAGATCTGCTCAGCAATTACGTCCATTTCATAGGTGCTAATATTTATTAGTTAGAAAGCACTTTTATAGAGTACTTTGTGGAATATCTACAATTTTCACATAAAAAACAGCAAATCCAAATAAAGAGTGGGTAGAATTGAAAATATTTCAACCAGTTCAATGTTTAAACAAATATAAATATGATTATTATTAGTGATAATTTATGCATTTAGCAAATGCTTTTATCCAAAACAACTTATTAGCATTCCACTCTCTCTAAAGCCTTGAAGCCAAAGAGTAAAAACACAAGGATTTCTTCTGTCGATTACCAGGAACTAGTTCGATCCTCGTACTTGTACGAGCTCAAGTTGTTTGGTTAGTTTAGAACAGCCAGCTCCGGTGTCTGTCCTTTTTTTTGGGATGGAGCTGAGAAATTCACAGGAGTGAGTTATTTTGGTGGTTATTTCATTTACTGTTTGGTGATTCGTTGTGACACACACATAAACAGGGTTGTTGTGTCTTCAATCAGCAGCAGCAGCAGGCAGCTGCCCCGGCCTCAGAGGTGTGAGGCCGCTCTCTGAAGACTGCCCCGGCGTTTACCCTCACAAAGCTAATTGATAAAACTCAATCAAAGCCTCCGACCTCTCACCAGTAGGTGACATGCCAAATAGGTGGCCCTGTGTGACGTTCTCACTTTTCGGAGTTCAAGTAGAGGCCACCTCAGATGTGTTCCATTAAATGCAGATTGAGGCTTAATCTCATTCTGCAAGTCTGTTCACCATTACAATGTCAGGAGTTTAATTCCAGGCTGGGAACCTGTTTCTCATGTAAATCCTAAGTTCCTCACTTATCTCCTGCTCTGCTGTTCTCACAGACTGTGATCCTTAAACAAACACAACCCAGAGTGGAGTTACCTAACATTAGAAATGATGAACAAAACACGCCTTTTATGACACACTTGTACCAACATGGATGGAAACAGGGAGGGAAAATTGACTTGTTTCTTTTTTTACATTGCTTCTCAATTAGTGGGTCGTGATCTTAAAGCGGGACATTGAGATGCAGTTTTTTTGCCGTCTATTTGGTCTCACCATTAACTGTTTTAGTCGTCTATTTGATCTCACCATTAACTGTTTTCACTGGTCGTGTTGCAATATATATTCTTGGCTAGTATTATTTTTAGTATTACATTTTAATTGGAGCCTAGATGAAAAGCAAATACAGAAGTACAGTGGCCACATTTGTCTTAACAAACTTAAAAATAAACAAATTGGATCAGAGCTTTATAAAAGCTGAGGTAAAACACGGGTTACTGATCAGTTCAGAACTGACGTACCACTGGTGATTGGCCTTTTGACTTTATGTCACAGAGACATTGCTGCTAAAACACAAGATTTCTCCTCCTTCGTAGTGACTTGCAGATTTGCCTGATTATGAACCACAGTGAGAGGTTAGCTGAGGCCAGAACAATATGAAAATCTCATATTATATGTCTCTTAATAATGTTACTTTTCTTTATAAAGCCCGTGATACAAGGCTCTACTAATGTTACAACTTACAAGTCAACTGTTTAAATGAGCTCTGACGGAGCAGCGGTTGAATTTTGAATTAAAAAATATTTTCAAAGGGAGCCAATGTGCTTCTCCGGCAAGAAAAAAAAAAGCTTTCGAGTTTTTAATTAAACAAATCCACTAATACTGTTCTGACTAAAGCGTCGATTGCAAAATGAAGTGAACATAAGCTCAGATAAAAGAAAGCAACGTAAAGAGGAAAAGAGAAGGGGAGGACACGAGGATCTGCAGGTATCTCCTATGTCTCTCTGCTTTATTACGGAGCAGAAGTTGTTAATTACCCTGATTCCTATTTCCTGTCCCCTCTCCCCCACACCACCG